TTTCTGTGACATTCTTACAATATTTTAACATTTATATAAATAAAAAAAATTGTGACGTGAAACTATTGAACAGTGGCGGAGATATGACAATTTCAAAAAAGTATGTTTTGGTCTATTTTTTTCTTCGAAAAATCATAACTTGGCTACGCTGCATTCGACCCAAATACGATTTTAAAGTTGATTATAGAGCATATAGAGGCTTGATTTGCCATATAAAAACATATGGTATTCCATTTAAAAAAATATAAAATTTGTGATTACACTTTTTTGAGACACCCTGTATACTTGAAAATAATTTTGGGTCATAGCAGAGATGAAATGCTAAAACTTTTATACAGAACATTTTTCCACAAGTTCAACGGTTTGGTTACTATTGACCGAGGCGCGCTTGTTGGACTACCCTGTAAATATTTTTTTCAAATAAATCTTAAAATGCTTCAAAAGTGTCACAAGAATACTGATAGAATGTCACAGAAACGGCACACGAATCTTTTTATTAAAAAAAAAAAAACGTTCCAAGAACGTCAAAAAAATGTCCCTATGGAATCTCGATAGAATGCCGAAGAAACGTCACAATTTTTTTTTTTATAATAATATTAAAATATTGTAAGAATATCACAAAAACATCACTAGAACATTTTTCCTTAGAAGAATGTTCCAAGAACGTCACTATAGAATCTTGATAAAATGTCAAAGGAATGTCACACATTTTTTGTCTTAAATAAAAATTTAAATGTTATAAAAATATATATATTTTTTTTCAAATTATTGTTGAAATGTTTTAAAAATGTCACAAGAATATCGATAGAATGTCACAGGAACGCCACACGAATATTTTTTCTTAAAAGAACGTTCCAAGAACGTCACAAAAATGTCATTATAGAATCTTGATAGAATGTCACAGAAACGTCACAAGAATCTTTTTCTTTAAAAAAACGTTCCAAAAACGTCACAAAAATATATATACATATATTTTTTTCAAATATGTTAAAATGTTTTTAGAATGGCACAAGAATATTGATAGAATATCACAAAAATGTCACTATAGAATATCAATGGAATGTCACAATTTTTTCTTATACAGGGTGATTTACTAAGCGCGCGGTCGTTCATATCTCTTATACTAACGGAGATCGAAAAAAAAATTAAATACAAAACTTGTAGATAAACATGTGTTTTTTAAATGAGTCTCCCTGTATATTATGACATTTCTGGATTCTATGGAGAATTCTAGACATATTCCATGTATAATAATGTCATATACATACCTATCTTCAACTGTTTAGGGAATATTGACAGTTTGCAATTGACTTTTTTGCATCTTTGACAATTGACAGACTGTAAAACCTAAACGGTTAATTTTAGAGGAAAACCGATTTCACATTCCTGTTTTAGATTTCCATAAGCTATCATTTGACACCAACTTTGAATATAACCGAAGGTTAAGAATTTAAGCGGAATTTTTAATCATGGATTAAATTCAAGGTTAGTGTCAAATGATAGTTTATGAAAAACTAAGATAAGAATGTATTATTGGTTTTGCTGTAAAATTAACCGATCAGGTTTTAGGGTTTTACAGTCTGTCAAAGATGCAAAAAAGTCAATTTTCAACTGTCAATATTTCCGAAACAGTTGAAGATAAGTATATGACATTGTATATAAAAAATGTCTAGAATTTTCCGCAGAATCCAGAAATATCATAATATACAGGGTGAGTCATTTGAAAAAACATAACTTTGTGTCACCACTACTTATTGGGCCACTCTGTATACTAAAAAATAATTCAGGAATGTAGTACTCATGTTTATCTACAAGTTTTATACTTAGTTTTTTCTCCGATCTCCGTTAGTATAAGAGATATGGACCACCGCGCGCTTAGTAACTCACCCTGTATACAGGGATGTCGTTATGTATGGAAACGGTCTGATATTTAAGAACGGGCTTGAAAAAAATGTACAATATTTCCTACCTGTGGGTTTTCGGGAATGCCCGATTCAATGTTGGTAATCGCAATGTTGCCAAGTTTATCGTTTCTAAGATGCCGTATGTAACTTGATGTTTTTACTCTTTATTTTTATTGCAATTAATAAGCGTCCAAACATTACTGAAACCCCTAAATGTCAAACCTCCAATTGACTTAGTTTTTGGAATATGGCAACACAGATTTTTTTGTTGAAATGTATGGATACAGTCTCGTATTTCAGAACAGGCTTTAGCAAAATGTACAATATTCGCTATCTGGGGGTTTTTGGGAATGCCCGATTCAATGGGGGTATTTGCAATGTTGCCAAGTTTATCGTTTCTAAGATGCCGTATGTAACTTGATTTTATTAAATGGATGCCCCTTTTTTTTAATTGTAATTCGAAGAGGGAAATCCATTTAAAAAAATCAAGTTACATACGGCATCTTAGAAACGGTGAACTTGGCAACATTACAAATACCACCATTGAATCGGGCATTCCCAAAAACCTCCAGGTAGGAAATATTGTACATTTTGCTAAAGTCTTTTCTGAAATACAAGACTGTTTCCATACATTTCAACAAAAAATCTGTGTTGCCATATTTCAAAAATCAAGTCAAATGGACTTTTGGCATTTAGGGGTTTTAGTAATGTTGAGACGCTGAATTAATTACAATAGAAATAAAAAAGGGCATCCATTTAAAAAAATCAAGTTACATACACAGTATCTTAGAAACGGTAAACTTGGCAACATTGCAAATACCACCATTGAATCGGCTAAAAACCCCCAGGTAAGAAATATTGTAAAATTTTTTCAAGCCGGTTCTGAAATATCAGAGCGTTTCCATACATAACGACAACCCTGTATATAAACCACAAAATATGTTTCTGTCTGACTGTCTGTTTGTCTACCTATGTCCGTTATAGATAGACTTTGAAACCATCCGACCGAATTGCCCCAAACCAGTTTAATATTAGAAGCAATAATGAGAAAGTTTTGACCACTAATGACAGGTGTCAACTGTCAAATTGTGACAAGTGCAAATTTTTGAACCATTTGTTTACAACAGATTTTGCTGGAATTTGGCATACACTTTAGGTTCGGGTGATAATACATTTCAGAGCACTAATGACAGATGTCAACTGTCAAAAGTAACAGGTGGATTTTGCTGAAATTTTGATAGATTTTAAGTTTGGGTGATAATACATTGTGGATCACTAATGACAGGTGTCAACTGTCAAATGTGACAGGTGCAGATTTTTGAACTATTTCTTCGCAACGGATTTTGCTGAAATTTTGCATACACTTTACGTTCGGGTGATGATACATTTTAGATTACTAAAGACAGGAGTCAAATGTAAGTTTTGACAGATGTCAGCTGTCAGAAGGGCGTTATATGCTTGCTCGGTGTTCAGAATCGCAAACGCAATAAGACGTTGCAAAAAATTAACAGATGTCAAATGTGACAGCAGGTTGTCAGGACTACCCCCGTCTTTAAAAATTTGCTTTTTTCAACAAATAAACAAAATGTACTTATTTTTCAGCGTAGTAATATTACAGGAATGTCACTAGAAATTTTTTTTGTCAAAAGAACGTTCTAAAAACGTGACAAAAACGTCAATATAGAACCATGACATTAAATATTTCTGTTATAAGTTTCTCAAGTTAAAGAAATTTTGCACAATACTGCAACATTGTTTAATGACTTGAAAATTTGCCAATGCAATTTCATCTTAAAAAGAACGAAAATGAATTATCTAGACAATTCTAGAAGCAACGGAGCGCTATAAAACGGAGTCGAGTTGGCGACAGTAATAAATTAAAACGTGACGTGGGTATGTCAAACATCAATGGATAGTCAAACCATGAATTGTGATTTAGTTTTGTTGTTGACCAATCAAATACCTAACTATAGAAAGTGCATTGGCGAACTTTTGGGTGCGTTTACATAAGAACATTAAAATACAGTGTGTCCGCGTAAGTTCGCAGCATATGGGAAACTTTTTTATTATCAATTTTACGAAAAAAAGTTATTTTTTATAAAAGTTTCTGTTTCTTAAAGAAAATAGTATTAAACTATTGAAACTTGAAATAACATATATGTACAGGGTGGTCAGAAAATAAAGAAAATATACAGGGTTTTTTGGTAAAAGTATAAAAAAAAATGGCACGTCACTATTTTTTCAAACCTTTGATATTTTTTTCAGATTAAGCAAGTCATTTTACAGTCAAAAGATACTTTTTGCTATCACAAACACACCTGCCAAGTGAAAAAAAAAAATTGAAAAATGATTTATAAGCTAAAAAAACGATTTTTTTTTTAAAACTTTGATACCCTGTATCTCAGAAACTATACATTTCCGGACACATGTTTATGGAAACTTTTTTTTCTAAATATTGTAAGGAATCACATCCTGAAGTTACGAACCGTACTTAGGAAACACCCTGTATATTTTCCGATTTTTTGACCACTCTGTACATGCTATTTCAAGTTTCAATAGTTAAATATTATTTTTTCAAGAAGCAAAAACTTTTTTTCGTAAAATTGATGATAAAAAAGTTTCCCATATGCTTCGAACTTAAGTGGACACCCTGTATATAATATGAAAATGAAAAAAATAAATATCATTTTTGATACTTTTAGTAATAAACCCCAAGTGAATCAGATAAAGGCTCAGAAATATGTAGATTTATGAATTTTTTGGAATATTTTGCTTGAGAGTTTAAGTCTAAAAATCTATGAAATATTTCATCCCTAAATTTCATTTCCTATTATTATGTTTTATCATCCCTTAATAATCTATTTCTCCCAACTAAAAATTGGACAATTTCTAAGTAAATTTGTAATAACAAAAGATTATTTTATCTTCTAATAGACCAATATTTGAAAACAAATTTCCATTGCCTAATTAAAAACAAATTAATAAACTATTGCGCCGACGATTAACTATCTAAATAAATTAAAAATCCGGATGACTTATAATAACGAAACATGCTATTTACCACCACTGAATACAAACTACAAAGATTCAACGATAATAATAATTGACCTGTAATAGATTCAGCTAGTAGTACTGAAGCATTTTGCTCGGAGAGAGGACACAGTACCTCATTGTATTCTAGTACCGCGAACGTTTTATTTTTCCGCGTAGACTGGTACTGTAAAGTGAAATTTCTTTCTTTCTTTGTTGTGTCTTCATTATTTGAATGAAAGGTAGCGTAGTAATAAAATCATTTCTTTTTTAATAATTTATTAATTGATTTGTTAATAATAAATTGCTTGTTTTAGACAATTAAAATCATGACAATTCGTGTGGAAATTGACGAAAATGGTGCTCCCTTTGTTACAATTGGAGATTATTGTCTTCGATTGGAAATGGACGAACTTTCAGGAGAATTTTTGGAAAGGGCCAAAACTGAACTTCTAGAAACTCCAGAAAGAATCCAACAAGGACTGAAAGAATTCAAGGAATTGATACAAGGTAACAAACAATTTAAAATCTTGAAATATCTTTCACCATTAACATTGGGTAACGATTGCCGAAAATTTAGCACCTTGACAAATCGCATTAACCTTCTAAATCAAACTTAAAGGCTATTTCTTCATTAAATGATTTATTTTAATCAATAAATTATTCAATTTCTAGCCGAAGAAGGTCTAGAATTGCCTTTAGACGACGATAAATTCCTCTTAAAATTCCTAAGGCCGTTTAAATGTAACGCCAAAGACGCTTTTAGAGTGATGAGGAAGTTTTACCGATTCAAAGTCAAACATCCGAAATATGGAGGAATTGGGCTGACGCCAGAGGGCGTCCGGCACGTTTTCGACGCTGAAGTTATGAAAGTTTTGCCGTCCAGAAGTAAAACAGGTGGCAGGATTATGGTTATAAATGCAGGCAGTAAGTTATGTACTATTGAAGCGTGCACTTTGTTGCATTTTGTGATTCAAATTTTGGAGGCAAAATCGAATAGAGAATTTAACTTGGCTTTAATTCAAGACTAATTACGTTAAAATTGGATTCAAATTAACAAAGTTATGGAGTGAAATGTAATTGTTTGTTCCTTTGAACTTAAAGTTGATATAACAAACCCTGTATACAAACAAAGGCCTATAAGCCATAAATCAGGCCAGAATCACAAAGAGTGTTTTTCTATTTTAGCAAAATGGAAACCCAAAGATGTACCACTGGAAGACATGTTTAGATCGATAATGGTGGCGATAGAAATAGCGATGATGGAACCCAGAACCCAAGTAGGAGGCGTCAACGTTATTATCAGTTTGGAAGGTTTGTCGCTGAGTCACGTTTATCAATTTTCGCCCAAGATGGCCAAGGAGATCGTCGATTGGGTTCAGGTATGATGACAATCAATCATTTATGAGAACCAGGAAACCATTAAAAATTATGGTTTTTTATTGTTCTTAAAAAGAAAAACCCGAAGTGATTAATTATTAATTTGTTTTTTGTACCGAGAAAAATGATATAATTTGTTAAATTGATGAAAACTTATATTTATTTTTAGGAATGTGCCCCTGTAAGACTACGCGGAATCCATATAATAAAACAGCCCTACCTTTTCAGTGTATTATACGCAATTTTCAAGCCCTTTTTGGGTGAATATTTGAAGAAAAGGGTAAGTCTTTATGTCTTATCAAAGAATCTCTTTATCAAATTGTTTTTTTTTTCTAGTTGTTTTTCCATGGAAACGATTATAAAAGCCTGTGCGAAAAAATCGGTAAAGAAAACTTACCGAAACAATATCAGGGCGAGGCGAACATTCCAGAATATTCCGGATCGGTATTTTCCGAAATGTTGTTTTATTATCAGGACGAGTTTTTAGGTAAGGATTTTTTTCCCATTTTATTTCTGTCCCTTTCTTACTCATTGGATTTTCTATTCCAGGCACTTGATTGGTCAGATACAAGACCACTCAAGTGCCAGAAATAATCAGTTTTTTTTATCCTACCTCATTTTTGTCTCTTCTTCAATTATTGAATTCTTTATACGTTTGTGTCCTTCTTTGTTTGATTTGGCAGACAAAAATAGCCAGAATTTATATCATATTTTCATTCCCATTTTATCTCTGTCCCTTTCTAACCCATTAAATTTTGCATTGCATTTCTCTCTATACCAGGCACTTGGCTGGCCAGATGCAAGACCACTCAAGCGCCGGGAATAATCAAAATTCGTATCACTTTTATTGTCCTACTTTATATTTGTCTCTTTCTCAATCACTGAATTCTTTACATGTTTATCTCCTACTTTGTTATACCCAAGCTCTTGTTCTGTCACTAATACAACTTGTGTAATATTTTTGTTCCCATTCTATCTCTATCCTTTTCTTACTCATTGAATGTTGTATGCCATTTCTCACTATTCCAGGCACTTGATTGGCTAGATATAAGATCACCCAAGTGCTGGAAATAATCAAAATTTGTGTCACTTTTTTCTTATCCTATTTTATATTTATCTCTTTCTTAATCATGGAATTCTTTATGCATTCGTCTCCTACTTTGGTATAGATACCCAAGCTCTTGTTTTGTCTCTGATTCAATTTGTGTAATATTTTTGTTCCCATCTTATCTCTGTCCTTTTCTTACTCATTGAATGTTGTATGCCATTTCTCTCTATTCCAGACTTGATTGGCCAGATAGAAGACCTCTCAAGCGCAGGGAATAATCAAAATTTGTGTCATTTTTTTTGTCCTATTTTATATTTGTCTTTTTCTTAATCATCGAATTCTTTTTACGTTTATCTCCTACTTTGTTATACCCAAGCTGTTGTTCTGTCACTGATATAATTTGTCTAATATTTCTGTTTCCATTTTATCTCTGTACTTTTCTTACTCATTGTATGTTGTATGTCATTTCTCTCTATTTCAGACTTGATTGGCCAGATACAAAACCACTCAAGCGCAGAAAAAAATCAAAATTCGTGTAATTTTTTTTTTACCTTATTTCATATTTGTCTCTTTCTTAATCATTGAATTCTTTATATGTTTGTCTCCTACTTTGTTATACCCAAACTCTTCTTTTCTCACTGATACAATTTGTGTAACATTTTTGTTCCCGTTTTATCTTTGTTCCTTTCTTACTCATTGAATGTTGTATGCCATTTCTCTCTATTCCAGACTTGATTGGCCAGATATAAGATCACTCAAGCGCCAGGAATAATCAAAATTCTAAGTAAAAAATTAATTGTCTGACAATTAACAAATTGACAGTTGTCAAAGATTATCATTTTGACAGTTTTATACTCCTTTCATTCAAGACTGAATTTTAGAATTTACAAAAAAAAAATCAACTGTCAACTTGTCTGAGTTAAAATCAATCTGTTGACAATTCACAAATATGTAAGAAAAAATTGACAGAAGTACATACACATATTGTCAAATATCAATATTTTGACTTATAAAAATCAAAATAATTGACAGTTGATAGTCATTTTACAGAAAAAAAATAAAAAATGCGAGACAACTGTCAAATTTGTGAAAAACAATATCAGGCGTCAAATACGTAATGGCATTTTGACAGGATTAAATAAAATTCGTTATGGGGTGTTCCAGAATTTTCATCTCCATAAAGAAGTTATTATCAAGTTAGAGACAGCTTTAAAGCATTTGACAATTAAATAAACCAAAAATGACAGTTGTCAAATAAGTCACACAGTGGGACAAAATAATGAACTAGGATGTCACATTTGAAAAAAAAATTTAAATACATTTTGACAGCCCAAATTAAACATTTAAGTAAACCATGTAAGAGTGTCAAATACTAATATTTTGCACTTTTTTACTAAATGTTTAATTTGTGCTGTCAAAATGTATTTAATTTTTTTTTCAAATGTGACATCCTAGTTCATTATTTTGTCCCACTGTGTAACTTATTTGACAAATTTTTAAGGCTGTCATTTTTAGCTTATTCAATTGTCAAATACTTCATAGCTGTTTTCAACTTGACAATAATTTCTTTATAAAGATGAAAATTTTGGAACACCCCATAACGGAACTTTATTTCATCCTGTCAAAAAAATGTCATTCTGTATTTGACAATTGAGATTGATTTTTACAAATTTGACAGTTGCCTTGAAATTTATTTTTATTGTAAAATGGCTATCAATATTACCAGTCAATTATTTTGATCCTTGTTATAATATTAATATTTGACAGTTCAGTATGTGTATGTATGTACTCCTGTCATTTTTCTTTTACGGTACATATTTGTAAATAATTGTCAACAAATTGATTTTTACATTTTGTAACTGATACAATCTGTGTAATATATTGCCATTTTATCTCTATCCTTTTCTTACTCATTGAATTTTGCATACAATTTCTCTCTATTCCAGACACTTGGTTGGTCAGATACAAAACCACTCAAGCGCCGGGAATGATCAAAATTCGTGTCACTTTTTTTATCCTACTTTGTATTTGTCACTGACACAAATAGCTAAAATTTGTGTAATATTTTTATTCCCATTTTATCTCTGTCCCTTTCTAACCCATTGAATTTTGCATACCATTCGGCTAGATACTACCCCACTCAAGCGCCGAGAATAATCAAAATTCTAAGTAAACAATTAATTGTCTGACAATTAACAAATTGACAGTTGTCAAAGATTATTATTTTGACAGTTTTATACTCCTAGTCTTCCAAGATTGAATTTCAAGATTTACAAAAAAAAAAATCAACTGTCAAAAAACTGACAATAATTGTTTAAATAAAAATCAATCTATTGACAATTTACAAATATGTAAGAAAAAATTGACAGGAGTACATACACATATTGTCAAATATTAATATTTTGACTGAAAGATCAAAATAATTGACAGTTGATAGTCATCTTACAAAAAAAAAAAAAAAATGCGAGACATCTGTCAAATTTGTGAAAAACAATATCAGTTTTCAAATACGTAATGTAATGGCATTTTGACAGAATGAAATAATATTCGTTATGGGATGTTCCAGAATTTTTATCTCCATCAAGAATTTATTATCAAGTTAGAGACAGCTATTTTGACAATTAAATAAACCAAAAATGACAGCTGCCGAAATTTGTCAAATAAGTCACACAGTGGGACAAAATAATCATTTTAGAATGTCACATTTGAAGAAAAAAATTAAATACATTTTATTTAGACCATGTAAAAAAGTGTCAAATACTGATATTTTGCACTTTTTTAATGTAACATTCTAATTCATTATTTTGTCCCACTGTGTAACTTATTTGACAAATTTTCACAGCTGTCATTTTTAGCTTATTCAATTGTCAAATGCTTCATAGCTGTTTTCAACTTGACAATAATTTCTTTATAGAGATGAAAATTTTGTCAATCATCCTGTCAAAAAAATGTCATTCTGTATTTGACAATTGAGATCGATTTTTACAAATTTGACAGTTGCCTCGCAATTTATTTTTATTGTAAAATGGCTATCAACATTCAATTATTTTGATCTTTGTCAAAATATTCATATTTGACAGTATGTGTATGTATGTACTACTGTCAATTTTTTTTTAAACATATTTGTAAATTGTAAACAGATTGATTTTTACTGAGACAATAATTGTCAAACAAAATATACCTGTTCTGACAATTGATGGCATGTGAAAAGAAACTGTCAAAATAATATTATTTGACAACTGTCAATTTGTTATTTGCCAAACAATTCATTTTTTACTTAGAATTTGGATTATTCCCGGCGCTTGAGTGATCTTGTATCTGGCCAATCAAATGCCTGGAATGGAGAGAAATGGTATGCAAAATTCAATAGGTTAGAAAGGGACAGAGACAAGATAGAACCATAAATATGACACAAATTTTGGTTATTTGTGTCTAACAATAAATCAGAGTAGGAGACAAAGACATAATGAAGGATTCAATGGTTAAGAAAGACATAAATATAAAGTAGAATAAAAAAAAGTGACATGATAATTCCTGGCGCTTGAGTGGTTTTGTATCTGGCCAATCAAATGCCTGGAATAGAGAGAAATGGTATGCAAAATTCAATGAGTAAAAAAGGGACAGAGATAAGATGGAAACATAAATATTACACAAATTTTGGTTATTTGTGTCTAACAATAAATCAAAGTAGGAGACAAAGACATAATAAAGGATTCAATGGTTAAGAAAGAGATAAATATGAAGAAAAATAAAAAAAGTGACATCAATTTTGATAATTCCCGGCGCTTGAGTGGTCTTGTATCTGGCCAATCAAATGCCTAAAATAGAAAGAAATGGCATGCAAAAATCGATTGGTAAGAAAGAAACAGAGATCAAATGGGAACAAAAATATTGCACTAATTTTAGCTTTACATTTGTTTCTTTCTTAATTATTGAATCGTTTATGTCTTTGTCTCCTAGTTTGTTATACCCAAGCTCTTGTTTTGTCACTGATACAAATTTGTGTAATATTTTTATTCCCATTTTATCTCTGTTTTTTTCTTACTCATTGGAAGTTGTTTGCCATTTCTCTCTATTCCAGACTCGATTGGCCAGATACAAAACCACTCAAGCGTTGGCAAAAACCAAAAATTCGTGTCACTTTTTTTGCCTTTTTTATACCGGGTGTCCGTAAAGTAACGGATAAATTCATTATTTTGAAAACGGTGGAATTTTTGAAAAATCGCTCGGACACGTCAATTTTGTTTTTTTGTTTGAAATTTTTTGATAATTTTTTTATTATACAGGATGTTTCAAAAATAGCTCCACTGCTGTCAAATTTGTTTTTTCAAATGGATCACCCTGTATATTATGACATTTATAGAATCTGCGGAAAATTTTTGATTATATTTCATGTACAATGTCGTATACCTATCTTTAACTGTTTCGGAAATATTGACAGTTGAAAATTTATTTTTTTGCAACTTTGACAGGCTGTAAAACCTAAACGGTCAATGTTAGAGGAAAACCGATTTCACATTCCTATCTTAGATTTTCATAAACTTTCATTTGACACCAACTTTGAAGTTAATGCGTGATTAAAAATTCCGATTAAATTTAATCTCCGGGTAAATTCAAAGTTGGTGTCAAATGATAGTTTATGAAAATCTAAGATAGGAATGTGAAATCGGTTTTCCTCTAAAATTAAAGTTTTAAAACCTGTCAAAGTTGCAAAAAACTCAATTTTCAACTGTTAATATTTCCGAAACAGTTAAAGATAGGTATATGACATTGTACATGAAATATGTCAAACATTTTCCGCAGAATCTATAAATGTCATAATATACAGGGTGATCCATTTGAAAAAACAAAGTTGACAGCAGCGGAGCTATTTTTGAGACACCCTGTATAATGAAAAATATATCAAAAAATTTCAAACGAAAAAACAAAATTGACGTGTCTGAGCTGTCTACCTTTTTCAAAATGATGAATTTATCCGTTACTTTACGGACACACTGTATTTGTCTCTTTCTTAATCGTTGAATTTTTTATACGTTTGTCTCCTACTCTCTTACATACAAGCTTTTGATTTGTCACTGACACAATTAACTAAAATTTGTATAATATTCTTGTTCCAATCTTATCTCTCTCTCTTTCTTACCCATCGAATTTTGTATACCATTTCTCTCTGTTCCAGGCACTTGATTGGCCAGATACAAGACTACTCAAGCGCCGGGAATAATCAAAATTCATGTCACTTTTTTTTGTTTCTTTCTCAATCATTGAATTCTTTATAACTTTGTTTCCTCTACTTTGTTATACTCAAGCTCGTTTTGTCACTAATACAAATGGCTAAAATTTGTGTATTATTTTATTTCTGTCTCTTTCCTACCCATTGAATTTTGCATACAATTTCTCTCTATTCCAGGCACTTGATTGGCCAGATACAAACTACTCAAGCGCCGGGAATAATCAAAGTTCATGTCACTTTTTTTTGTTCTACTTTATATTTGTCTCTTTCTCAATCATTGAATTCTTTATACCTTTGTCTCCTACTTCGTTATTCTCAAGCTCTTGTTTTGTCACTGACACAAATAGCTAAAATTTGTGAAATATTTTATCTCTGTCCCTTTCTTACCCATTGAATTTTGCATGCCATTTCTTTCTATTCCAATCAAAATTCTAAGTAAAAAATGAATTGTTTGACAATAATTAATAAATTGACAGTTGTCAATTATTTTTATTTTGACAATTTCGTCCAAGATTAATTTTTAGGATTTTACATTCCTTATTACAAAGAAAAAATCAATTGTCAAAACACGTATATATTGTTTGACCACTGTCTCGGTAAAAATCAATTTGTTGACAATTTACAAATATGTATGCAAAAAAAAAATTGACAGAAGTACATACACATACTGTCAAATATTAATATTTTGACTAAAACATCGAAATAATTAACTTATTTACAAAGAAAAAAATCAATTGTCAAAACAGGTATATTTTATTTGACAATATTTTCTCAGTAAAAATCAATTTGTTGACAATTAACAAATACATATGTAAAAAAAATTGACAGGAGTATATACACATACTGTCAAACACATATTAATATTTTGATTAAAAGATCAAAATAATTGGTTGTAGATGTGTCATAGCCATTATACAATAAAAATGAATTGCGATACAACTGTCAAATTTGTAAAAAATCAATTGTCAAATACATAATGACAGGACGAAATAAAGTTTGTTATAGGGTGTTTTAAAATTTTCATCTCCATATAAAAAAATAGAAAATTATAATTATTATCAAGTATTGAGATACGCTATGAAGTTTTTGACAATTATTGAATAGGCTAAAAATGACAGCTGTCAAAAATTATCAAATAAGCTACACAATCGGACAAATGTGTGACATTTCAAAAGATACAATCAAAAAATCAAAATCAAACATTTACTACTACATTTACGAATATGTACCTACTGATATTTTGACAATTTGAAGAAGGTCCAAACTAAATGACGAAACGTCGCAGAATTAAAACTTTATTTTAATAAAATCCGTATTATTTTTCAGCTTTCCACGGAAACGGCTACGTGACCGAAATAGAAAAAAACCTAAGCGAAAAGGAATTGAATGAATATACAGAAATCAAGAAAAAACTACTGATTATTGAAAAACCCAGCGATACTGTGATCAAATCGACTACTGGCTGAATAAATAATTAGTTTCAAGTTAATTAAGAATTTTGTTAATTAGGTATAATAGTTGAAATATTTAAAATTAATTTGTACAGAAATTATAAGTTGTAATTAATAAAAATAAATAGATTTAGGTACAAATGGGCAAAACCCTGTTGTATTGTAATAAGCCTCTGATATTATTGATATATTTTAACAGGAAGACAAGTTTATTAAACTCCTAAGGCCTTAAACTCTTCAAGAAAACATTATATAAATTTATTATTTTGAAGTTTTTTTTTAACAAAAATAATTTTAAAGAAAAACTCACCATTTGTCCAGAATTTGCCTTTTGATTTTCACATTTATTCCTCCTTCACCAAAGAATCTCTGGAAATAAAAGAGAAAACCTACCATTGAAAAAACCATAATAGAATCAAAAATAATAAAGAAAATAAATAAAAAAACAATTTTCTAATATTTATTGCGAGTCTTCAACACCAATAATAATAATTATTATTATATACAAAAAATTACCTTAAACCTAAAGCTAAAATACACAAAAAAAAAGGACATAGATACATGAAACAAACAAAAAAGGCCCAACCTAGAAAAATATCACAATAATTTAAATCAAGCAAGAAGAGTGAATGTTGAATTAAATGCCAATGAAAATCTACGACTAGACATTGCATAATAATAATTACTCATCCGAAAATGGCACATAAAGCTTCAATTTGTTTCTATGTAATTAAATTATTAAAAATCACTTTAATATAAAGTGGATTTTAGTGGTAACTAACTAGTCAAAAGTCTTTTTGTGTAAATCCATTTTATTTAGTCTTTCTTCTTTGATTTTTCCTTGAGGCTGTTTTCCCTACGGATTTTCTCTTTTAGTTGGGCTGTTTTTAGGGTTGTCATCAATTGGGTGGATTGATACAGCCAATTACCCTAAAGCAAAAATTCATTTTTGTATTTTTTTCTAGTAGTTTTCTAAATTTTTTTGTATTTCAATCTTTTTTAAATTAATTGAAATTGAAATCTTACCTATAATAAGTTATTTTTGGGTTTTTTTTTAAAAGCTTATCTTCATAATTTTTTTGCACTTTTTCACAAAATTTCGAAAAAACCAGAATAAATTAAATCCATAATAAATAATTGAAATTAATATTTACCACCATCAACATGCAATTAATTAAAATCGGCATGGAAAACACCACAGAAATAAAAAGTCCATTGCTGTCAAAGTATTGTTGCCTGGAAAACACTTTCCAATTGGTCGATGCTAGGGTGTTTATGTTTTCAGAGAAATATACTAATAGTACTAAAATAAAAAAAATATTATTATAAATAAATTACATATTGAATCTTACAAAGTATGAAGAATAAAAGGGCCTGGAAGTTTCCATATTGTCTGGTTAATATTGCCATCATGAATATTGAAAAGTGGAAAGTGCAGAGGCCTAGAAGCCAGGGATCTTTCCAATCGATCTGGAACAAAAGTTATATGTATTCATATATTTCCAAGCTTTAAAATGACTTCAAATTTGCAGCAATTTTAAATTGAAGTTTTTTCTATAATTGTGCACAAATTGCTAATCAATATTTGCTTTAGATTCTGAATAACAATTATTTTTAACCAAAACTTGCACTTTTTGATGGGAGTTTGAACTTTGAGAATTTTTTCAAAAATGTTCCAGGTTTCAAAATTACTTCAAGCATGCAGCAATTATAAATTGAAGTTTCTTCTTTAAATGAGCACAAACTGCTACTCAATTACATACGACTATTTAAACCAAAGCTTGCATTTTTTTCTGGGAATTTGAACTTTGAGAATTTTTTAAAAAATGTTCTAGGCTTCAGAATAACTTCAAATTTGTAGAAATTATAAGTTGAAGTTTATTTTAAAAATGAGCGCAAACTGCTAGTTAATATTTGCCTCAGATTCTGAGGTACAATTATTTTTATCCATAACTTGCATTTTTCTTAGGAATTTGTACTTTGAGATTTTTTTTTAAAAATGATCCAGGCTTCAGAATGACTTCAAATTTGCAGCAATTATAAATTGAAGTTTCTTTCATAAATGAGCACAAATTGCTATTCAATATTTTCCTCAGATTCTGAGTTACAATTATTTTTAACTAAAACTTGCATTTTTTTTTGGGAATTTGAACTTTAAGAATTTTTTTAAAAAAATTTTCTGGCTTCAGAATGAATATATTGTCTTTTCCTCTCTATCGCTCCTTTCTACGGTCCCTCTTTTTGGTCTCATATTTGAGTCGCTGTTTTTTAGATGTTAGGAATCAAGGGGCAAACCACCTAGGAACTATTTGCCAAAAAGTAGAGAATTTAGAGGAATTTAAAGAAACTCATCAGAATTTATGAGAATTTGAGGAATTTATAGGAAATTTAGAGAAATTTATGGGAAATTTGGATGAATTTATGAGGAATTTAAAGGAAATTGTAGGGTCATTATGTCAGTGAGGTTTACATTCTTATTATAAAAAACACTAATAAATGGAAATTAAAAAATCTAGTTTTGTCTTGGACGTTGGACATTAATTTTTATTAATGAAATTCTCCCAAAATTTCACTTCATGATTTGACTTATAGGTCCAAATTTAAAAGAATAATGAGTACAGTTTTTATAGGCTGATTTCCAAGATTCTTCATGTTGTTACTTTCCACTGGAAAAATTTGAAATGTTGAGAAAATGAGCTTCTCACCTTTCTCTTTACATGCAAAAAGTTTCAAAATTTCCCTTCACTAGTTTTCCAGAAAAACTTTGAAATTGTGTGAAACTGTATTTTCAATTAATTCAGTTATTGAAGGTTATTCCAAGATTCTTCATGTTGTTATTTTCCATTGGAAAAACTTGAAATTATAGGAAAATGAGCCTGTAACTTTCCTCTTCACATGCAAAAAGTTTCAAAATTTCCCTTCACTAGTTTTCCATAAAAACTTTGAAATGTGTGACACTGTATTTTCAATTAATTCAGTTATTAAAGGTTGATTTCCAAGATTCTTCATGTTGTTATTTTCCATTCGAAAAATTTGAAATTGGGGGAAAATGAGCCTCTAACCTTCCTCTTCACATGCAAAAAGTTTCAAATTTTTCCGTTCACTAGTTTTCCAGGAAAACTTTGAAATATGTGAGACTGTATTTTCAATTTATTCAGATATTGGAGCTAAATTTCCAAGATTCCTCATGTTGTTATTTTCCTCGTTATTTTCCATACTGGAAAAATTTGAAGTTATGGGAAAATGAGCTTCTAACCTTCCTCTTTACATGCAAAAAGTTTCAAAATTTTCCCTGGATTAGTTTTCCAGAAAAACTTTGAAATGTGCTGACTGTATTTTCCATTAGTTCAGTTTTTGTAAGTTGATTTCCATGATTTTTCATATTGTTATTTTCCACTGGAAAAATTTGAAATTTTGGGAAAATGAGCCTCTGACCTTCCTCTTTACATGTAAAAAGTTTCAAAATTTTCCCCCCATCAGTTTTTCAGGAAAACTTTCAATTGTGTGAGACTGTATTAACAATTATTTCAATTTTTGTAAGTTGATACCCATGATTTTTCATTTTGTTATTTTCCAATGCAAAAATTTAAAATTATGGGAAAATGAGCCTTTAACCTTCCTCTTCACATGCAAAAAGTTTCAAAATTTTCCCCTTAATTAGTTTTTCAGGAAAACTTTGAATTGTGTGAGACTGTATTTTCAATTAATTAAGTTATTGTAGGTTGATTTCCAAGATTTTTTTGTTGTTATGTTTCACTGGAGAAATTTGAAATTTTGGGGAAATGAGTCTTTAACCTTCCTCTTCACATGCAAAAAGTTTCAAATTTTTCCCTTCACTAGTATTCCAGGAAAACTTTGGAATGTGTGAGACTGTATTTTGAATCAATTCAGTTTTTGTAGGCTAATTTCCAAGATTCTTTATGTTGCTATTTTTCACTAGAAAAATTTTAATTTTTGAGAAAATGAGCCTCTAACCTTCCTCTTTACTTATATACAAAAAGTTTCAAAATTTTCCCTGAATTAGTTTTCAGGAAAGCTTTGAAATGTGCTGGAAAATTTGAGATTTTGGGAAAATCAGCTTCTAACCTTCCTCTTTACATGCAAAAAGTTCCAAATTTCTCCATTCACTAGTTTTCCAGGAAAATTGTGACATGACATGTGAGTATTTTCAATTAATTCAGTTTTTATAAGTTCATTTCCAAGATTTTTCACATTGTTATTTTTCGCTGGAAACATTTGAAATTTTGGGAAAATGAGCTTCTAGTTCTAACCTTCCTCTTCACATGCAAAAAGTTTCAAATTTTTCCGTTCAACAGTTTTTCAGGAAAATTCGAGGGAAAACTTTGAAATGTGTGAGACTGTACTTTCAATTAATTCAGTTATTGGAGGTTGATTTCCAAGATTTTTTATGTTGTTTTTTTCCAAAGGAAAAATTTGAAATTATGATAAAATCAGCCTCTAACATTCCTCTTCACATGCAAAAAGTTTCAAGTTTTTGTCTTCACTTGTTTTTCAGGAAAACTTTGAAATGTGTGAGACTGTATTTTCAAATAATTCAGTTATTGGAGGTTGATTTCCAAGATTCTCCATGTTGTTATTTATCACTGAAAAAATTTGAAATTTTGGGAAAATGAGTCTCTGACCTTCTTCTTTACATGTAAAAAGTTTTAAAATTTTCCTTCAATTAGTTTTCCAGGAAAACTTTGAATTGTGTGAGCCTGTATTAACAATTATTTCAGTTTTTGTAATTTGATTTCCATGATTTTTCATGTTGTTATTTTCCAATGGAAAAATTTGAAATTATGGGAAAATGAGCCTCTCACCTACCTCTTCACATGCAAAAATTTCAAATTTTTCTGTTCACTAGTTTTCCAGGAAAGCTTTGAATTGTGTGAGACTGTATTAACAATTATTTCAGTTTTTGTAAGTTGATTTCCATGATTTTTTATGTTGTTATTTTCCACTGGAAAAATTTGAAATTTTGGGAAAATGAGCTTCTAACCGAGCTTCTAACCTATTTCTTTACATGCAGAAAGTTTAAAATTTTTCCCTTCACTAGTATTCCAGGAAAGCTTTGAAATATGTGAGATTGTATTTTCAATTAATTTAGTTTTTGTAGGTTGATTTCCAAGATTCTTCATGTTGCTAATTTTCACTGGAACAATTTAAAATTTTGGGAAAATGAGCCTTTAGCTTTCCTCTTTACATGCAAAAAGTTTCAAAATTTTCCCTGAATTCGTTTTCCAGGAAAACTTTGAAATGTGTGAGACTGTATTTTCAATTAATTCAGTTTTTGTAAGTTGTAAGTTGATTTTCAAGATTATTTATGTGTTATTTTCTGCTGGAAAAATTTGAAATTTTGGGAAATTGAACTTCTAACCTAACTCTTTACATGCAAAAATTTTCAAAATTTTCCCTTCATTAGTATTCCAGGAAAACTTTGAAATGTGTGAGACTGTATTTTCAACTCGATTTTCAATTAATTCAGTTTTTGTTTTTGTAAGTTGATTTCCAAGATTTTTCATGTTGTTATTTTCCAATGAAAAAATTTGAAATTTTGGGAAAATGAGCTTTTAACCTTCCTCTTCATATGCAAAAAGTTTCAATTTTTCCAGTTAGTTTAGTTTTCCACTCGGTTTTCCAGGAAAATTTTGAATTGTGTGCGACTGTATTTTCCAAAAGGCAAACTCGGGCAAACCATCTAGGAAGTCTTTGCCAAAAATGTGGGGACTTAATAGGGAATTTGGAGAAATTTATGGGGAATTTGGAGGAATTTGCAGGGAATTGAGATGAATTTGTGGGATATTTGGAGGAGTTTGTGATGGGGTATCTGGAGGAATTTATGGGGAATTTGTAGGAATATTGAGGAATTTTGCATAATAAATTCCCCTCCGAGGAATTGTTTGCACAAATTCTGGGGAAGTGTTTTACCCATTGTTAGGAATAGACAATATCCGAGATTATACAGTTAAGTAACTGTTTTGATGGACATACCTACTATCCCATGAATAATAATTAACTTTGAACTTGAAGCCAATTTCAACAAAGATAAACTCAATTTGACTGACTCATCTGAGGCTATTCAGGAGGAAACTGATAATGACGTTGTGATGGCAGAGGATCTCAATTCTCTTAAAAATTATATGAACAGGGTAGCCTTTAATCGAGCCTTTAATATTAAAGATTACTATGCTTAGGTAACAGATATCAACAATGGAAGGTTTGTAAAAATACATATAAAAAAGAGAAAGTCAAATACCTACAGTAAGAAAGTTAACATCGCAATAGTACTGTGTACAGACAACAAGAAAAGCAAAGTAAAGTTTCTAAAATTGAACGTATGCCAGTTTAGATGGGGTGAAAACTCGGGTTAAATTAATGATCTGATCCATTTGATTTAGATCATAAACATTTAAATAATATTTGAAGAAATAGGGAATACTTATCTATGTACTGCAATAACTTGCAATAGTTCACAATAATCACAATGGTTTGCAATATCTAGAATCATTGGGCAATAGGTTGCAATAGTCCACAATACTCTGACAATACCGAGGACAATACTCTGCAATACCTGAGCATTGCACAATATATTATTATGTACAAAAAAAAACCCTCAATTTGAACTTTAAATTTTCTTTTAAAAATGTTCCAGGTTGAATAATTTCAAATTCACAGAAATTATAAATTGAAGTTTATTTTATGAATGAGCAGAAACTGCTACTAAATATTTGCTTCAGATTCTGAGTTAAGATTGAGTTTGATAGTTTGAATACTTTCTGAGTAATTGAGCTTCAAAGTTGAACATTTTCAATACCAGCTCTATGGTTGACTTGATTGGTCAAAAAATTTATTGGATTGAGTTGATACAAAGTGCCATTTATGGCCTCAATCTAAATGACTGAGTTTACACCAGCAGGCATCTTTGGACTTGAATTTATAAAAACTCTAAAAAATCATAACTTTTTTTCTATCATAGATACCTACAAAGCTGAAATTTTCAGCGATTCTTATCTTAGTGAAGGACTACAATTCCTGAAAATTTCAACTCATTTGACTTGGATGCATTCTATAAATAAAATGTTATCAATCATTTTTTGAAAGTGGCTTCAAATTTTGTGTGATAAGAAAATATAAGCAGAATGATATGATTGATAATAATTTAAAATCAGTTAATTCGAGTGTTATTTTGTATGAAAATAAATAGTCATAATTGCAATTTTACCATAACAAATTTGTTTATACTTCTGAAATCCGTTTTTTTTTTTTTTTTTAATAAATAGTGAACATTTTAATATAATTTTGCCAATGAAATCTGCACCCTTATAGGTCTGTTCTCACAGCAATCACAAACCAGTCAGAGTGTTTTTGATTGGTGCAAAACAGTTTCCTGACTATATTCAACCAATGACTGATTTGTAATTTCTGTGACAACAAATCTCTTGCTGCTCGATTATTTGAGATCCATCCTTTACTGTTGACTGCAACAACAAAACAGAAATTTTTGCCCAATCATTGCTACAATAAAAACAATGATCTTTGAGCACAAATTACCCCCTAATCAAATGCAGCACATACAAAATCAAGTAAACAACACAGGATTTTATGATTATTTTTGACTGCCAGGCAATTGTATTCAAAGTATCTACTATGGCAAAAGGACTTTTTTTGAAAAAAACAATGCAGACAAAATAAATCAAAACCGGTTTACAATTTTTATAAAAATGAAAATGTTTACCCTGGCCAAAAACGACAAAAATCCTTCGATTTTGCTTATGTCGATGAAATCCGCCGCTTCGGACATGATTGTGCACTTATTGGGGACTAAAAAATCCACTAATTATTATTGTCAATTAACTAATTAATAATCAAAAAATACAATTTTTTCTTGTGGTGATAAATATGAAATTATACACAGCCTAGGCCCAGGGACAAACATAACCCAACTTTGTTTATGTGACATACCAACATCTAAAGACTTTGACATTTTAAAGGGCATTCAACGGACGTACTTTTTTTAAATGAATTATTTTTAGGCTTAACACAATTTAAACAAGAAAATTTCAATAATTTATAAATATTTTTTATTAATTATAATGCCGCTCGATAATTATAACTATTAAAATCGATTAATTATGGGCAAATATTCAAAGAAATTAATTTTAATGAAGTGGCGCCATCTATGAACAACATCTTGAAATGCGGTTTTACATTTAAAAATGCTTTTGAGCAGGGACGGACTTGGGAAAAACAAAACTCATTAATGACATTTGACAAGCTGTCATTTATTTTATGATCATTTTTATTTCTTTGGGGCCTTGTGTTGTGAGTTGTGATTCCTGTGCTGTGTATGTACTTTTAATAATAATTAATTATTTACCATCTTATTGAATTAAATTTGTTATAATATGCTGTAAAATAGTATAGTGTTGTGTATACAGTGACGGCGCAAGCGAAAGTGCCCCCCGAAATAAAAATGACTAAAAAGGGGTGCTGCAAAATACCCCAGTGCCGTAACGGCTCAGAAAAATCCTGCAATCCCGAAGTAATTTACCAAAAGTTTCCCACTAAAGAGAAAATACGACGCCGATGGCTTCGAGCTATACAAGGGACTTTCAGTAAGTTGTTATTTGTTACTTTCATCAATTAGTTTATTAATTTATGTTTTTGTATAGAATTCTTCAGCATTGACGAAACATCGACTCCAAGAATTTGCAGCGACCATTTTGCTGAAAGGGAATTTATTCCTGGTAAAAATGGCAAAAGGATTCTGAAGCTCGATGCTGTTCCTACACTGTTTACGGTAAGAACATTTTCATTGTGTTTGCATAATATGGTGTAATGGTGTTTACGTGGAAGCCTCATCAGAGCTCAGAAATCTCATTAAAATGAGTTCCAGGAGGCAGAAGTGTCCTAAGAATTTGAGGTTAGGTTTGCGCATCAATGGTGTAACCTCACAATCAGTCGTATGAATGAAGTGTAGCAAATGCTTTTACTCTATATCCGTCTCTTCTTGCTGCATTAAAGCTGAATATGTTTATCTCAAAAAACTTAAGTAAAAGCATTTGCTTCTGTTTTATACAATGAGCCATTTATTTTAATACACAAACTAGGTACTACACCTTTTTCAATTGTAATTCAAAAAGTATCAAGCTGTTATTCAGAAAGTATCACTTGTAATTCAGATTTTTCAATTACCAAGAGTTATAACTGTTCTCTGAATTACATCTGATTTACAATTGGGATTTTCTGAATTACAAATAAATTTTTTTGAATTAGGTACCATCGTCACCAAAAGTAACTGGGACACAAATAATGCATAATAATCTCCTGGACTAATTCTACTGTTATTCATTTCAATGCATTTAATGCATAGTTTGACAAATATTTGACAATAAAATTCATATAATAGGACGAGAGCTAATGCGCTGCTGTCCCAGTTACTTTTGGTGAAGATGGTACCTATATCTATTTAAAAAAATTGAATTAAGTAGTAATTTAGTCAAATTAGCAGATTTTGGGGAGTAAGGCAGAGTTGCCATACACAAAAACCCCTTGAAAAACCCATTTCAAAAACATAAAAACTCATCATCAATATTGACAAAAACCCAGTGGGCTTTTGTGTTAAAAACTCACTCACAGAAATATGTAATTAACTGCCCTAATTTGGATTTTTTTTTTTTAATAAAAAACAAACTCATTCCTACCATAGTGACAAAATCAATCAAAAATCTAGGATTAAGTACCCACATTTTAAAACAAAATAAAAAAATCTAAGGAGAAATAGACAGATAATACGGGAGATAATATTTATCAAACAATTTTTAAAAGAACTTTTCTGGAGATAACTACTTGGAATTACGTAACTAAAAAAGGGAACATTAGTCTTTGGCATTTTCATATTGAGAGAGTTTTTTAATATCAAGAAGTTTCCTACTTTTTCTGGACTCTGAAGCTATACTTAAGCGGTTCCTCAAGTCTGATTACACATAATACAATATGCAATTTTTAGTGGAGTTCTGAGTTTGAGATTATGTGGAAGGCAAAAACACAAAAACCCAACCAAGGGTTTTTGCTAACCCTGGAGTAAGGTGGAACAAATCGAAAAAATATCTTTAATGGTGAAAAATTGAAGAGACTAAGTAGTGTCTTAAATACTGTACTAAAAGTCCCATCCATTCTGTTCTGACCATGACAAGTTTCAAAAAATCGCCACTATTGTGAATTTTTCAAATTTTTGGATCTATTTCCAAGGGTTTTTTGAAAACTTTCAAGTTTCAAGTCGATCACTTTTAATTTGCAGTAAGCTTTACCCAAGGCTCTACCTCAAACCTTCAAAAATAGATTCTCAAAATCTCATCTTTCCGCCCTGGCTGGTTTTTGAGTTAGAAATTCCAAAATAGAGACTTGTAAATGTCTACTTTGGCCTAACTTAGAAAATTCATAACTTTATTATTAGCAGTTCGATCACTTTGAATTTTCCGAGGAATTTTCATTATGTTTTACCTTAATCCTATAAGAATAGATCCTCAAAATTTAATTTTTGCGCCTTTGCTAGATTTTGAGTTGGAAATTCCAAAGTAGAGGCTAATCAGTGTTTTTTTTTTTTTTTTGAAAATCGTTTATTTCCTAAATCATTCATTATAGTAATAATAACACAATTTCTCTAAACAGTGCCTGTAAGCACTGGTCTTGAGAAAATTGGATTATTGAGACCTATATTAGTTTTAGTTACAATTTGGTAAATGTCACAGTTGGTTCTGGTCGAGGTTTTGGCATTATAGTGGTGTACATCATTCGATAATATAATATAAATATTGCTCTTCTGACTTTGTTTTTAGTTATTTATACACCAAGTGAGTTAAATGAATAAACAATTCAACTCATGTGATGTATACAAAATTTTATCCCATTTTGTGGAAATTCAAAAAATAAAGTGTAAGGAAAAATGCCGAGAGTGAGTTAAAAATATTTTAAATCACTGAGGTCCCAGACTTTTAGTTGAACAGAGTGACTTAAAATGCCGAGAGTGAGTTAGAAAAGTTTTAAGTCACTGAGGTGATAAACGTCTACTTACCTTTACTGTTATGCATGCAATAATGTCATTTTTAAACGTCAAAATGGGATAAAATATTTTATGCATAAGTTTATCCCCCGGTTTATCCTGCTCAAATTCATATATTTTAATTATCGGACTTATATTCAGCTCTTCATATACTTAATATAGCCAAATTTGTGAGTCTGTCAAAAATCAAAATTGAATAAAATTTTAACAACAGTATTTTGCAATGTCATGATCTCAGAAATATGACACTGGGCAGTAGATCCCTACACGGGAATAAGATATCGTAAGTAAATTTTTGCCTAAATTAAAAAAATAAATTGTAATTTTATTATTAGCGGTCCGATCACTTCGAATTTTCAGTATGTTTTACTTCAAACCTTCAAGAATAGATTCTCAAAATCTCATTTTTCCGCCTTGACTAGTTTTTGAGTTAGAAATTCCAAAATAGGAGCTTGTGAATGTTTATTTTAATTTAACCTAATTTAGAAAATTCATAACTTTATTATTAGCGGTGTGATCACTTTGAATTTTTAGTATGTTTTACCTCAAGTCCGAGGGGTAAGTCACCCTTAAAATTGTGTACAATAAATTACCACTTTCTTCAAAAAATACCAATAATTACCAAAAATACTAATAAATACCTAAAAAAGTCCAATAATTACCAGAAAAATACCAGTAGTTGCCAAATAATACCAATAATTACCAAAACAATACCAATAATTACCAAATCAATTACCAAGAAATACCTACCAATAATTACTAAAAAGCTAACGATCCATGAATCTAAGAAACTTCTGCTATTGCATACTCCTCGGCATACTCTAAGTGGGGGGGAGTGACAGCCCGTGTAATAAAGAATTTCATGGTCAAGACGTCACTAGCGGCCATTTTGGGATACGAAACAGGGCCTGATTAACAATAATTTAGGTTTTTTTTTTTCGTGTCACAGAGTTGTATTGGCTCTAAATAAAATTATTGATTTAGAAGGAAGACAATGGAATTTTATAAAACGATGGCTATGGCTTGAGAATTTTTAGTATTGAATCAACTGATACAATAATTTAATAGGTCTGTGTCTGCAGAAATCATAAACCAGTCAGACCTAATTTCATTGGTTGATAACAGTCAGAAAACTAATTTCAACCAATGAAATTCACTCTGATTTGTTTGTGATTTCTGCAGAAACAGACCTATTATTACTTATACATAATAATATCTATAAATACCAATTTATTATTATTATTAAATTGACAAGAATGATAACAGCATAAATGACAACACTAAGAATACACTAAAATCATAGCATCTAAAATTGTATGCTGTGCTAAAATTACAGCTTAAATTCTGCTCTACACCGCACGTCTATGACCACAACAGAGATAAACAAGTAAAATAAAATTTCGGCGTCCCTGCCGTTCAATGACAGAATGGTATTCCCCTCAGAGGGTATTCCCTAATGGCGGCGTGCGCAGAAAAGATGCGCGTGAGAGTTAGCCTGCTGATTGTTATAGTATATGCTGTGGTAATGTTCAAGTTATATCGTAGACTCCTGCTGCAATAAATCAACCACCTCACCATAAAAGCTAATAAATTTCCAACCTTTTCAGTCAGGGCCGGCCCTTAGGATTTTACCTGGCATGTGAACTGAATATAGAATAGATAAAATATTATTTGTAGATAATGTTGTAATGATAAAATAATTATATTACTTATATTTTTCTTATTTTCCAATAATCCTTCAATAAATTATTCAACAGAAATCTCGAGACAAAAGCCTTCCGGGTAATAAAATAAATTGCGCCATATGTTGCCGCGCATGCGCATTGTGTTCCGGCTATGATAAATACCAATCAAATACCAAATATTACCAAAAAAATTACCATAATTACCAAGTATTACCAGAAGTACCACAAAAAATACCATAATTATCATAATTACCAAAAAAAATACCAAAAATACCTATAAATACCAATAATTACCAAGTGCTTGTATAATAAAATACCAAGGTGACTTACCCCTCGCTCAAGTCCTCAAACCTCCAATAATAGATCCTCAAAATCTCATTTTTCCGCCTTGGCTAGTTTTTAAGTTAGAAATTCCAAAATGGAGGCTTGTCATGTTTTCTGATTTGAAATTTTTCTTCATTTCTCAATTTCTTGGTATCAATTTGTGTCGATATCTAGCTCTTGCCTGTTTTTTTCTAAACGTCTCCAAATGGGGATATTTCAAAAAAATTGAGAAAACATAAAGAAAATTTCCGAGAAATTTCAAGAGCCTGAAATAAAAAAAATTTGAAAATTTGAAAGCTTTCCCTATAAAAACTATGCTCACTTTGTTTCTTTTTTGACTTTTGTGTGATAATATTTCAATAATCTTGCGAATTATTGTTTCCTTATGAGGAATGAGAATACAAAAAAAAGCCAAAATAAAATTTAAGAAAAAAAAAATTTGATTTTGAAATTTTTCTTCACTTTTCAATTTCTCTGTATCAATTTGGGTCTAATCTCTGTCTCAATCAAGGGCTTTTTCACCTAACAAAATTTGTACACCGATTAACAGTACTAACTGAGATATTTCCATGTATTAACAGATATTTCTATGTACCTAATAACAAGTTATTGCCAACTATTTCCATGTATCAACAAAATATTTCCACATATTGCCAGGTATTTCCCTAGTATTATCTGATATTACCAGGAATTGCCATGCTATTGACAGACTAAAATCAAATATGTGTCTTGCCAGAATTCTAGGTATTGACATATTCACAGGTATTTACATGTTATTAATGGGTATCATCAACCAATGACCAATTAACATATATTGCCTAGATATTTACAAGTATTGACATATGTTATCTACATAATTAACAAGTAGGTATTACATAGTATTGACACTATTGACATAGTATTTACCTGTTATTGACATATATTAACCAGTGATTTATACACCGATTAGCAAGGTGAAAAACCCCTCGGGAATATCTAGGAATACTTGGAAATCCTAGGAAATATGCTGGAAGTATATGGGAATACTCTGATAGAAGTGTGTACTTGTAAATTTATATAACTTCCAACTCAGAAACCAATCTAGCGTCGTTCTTTTTATTACATGCAGGGTATAAATCGAGGTATAAATGAAACACACTCGTAATATATTTTTATATGTGGGAAATTCAAATTTCAATAATAATAAGGCAAAAACTGACATATGGCACAGTAACCTCGCTATTGCAGTTAACCAAGTTGACCTTACTTGAAAATACTGGGAAATACGAAATTAGGGGAAATATTTAGACATACTATCCAAATTTGAGGAAGTATTCCCAGAAACTGTAAGTTTTTTCGTAAATAGTTGAACCCTCCTCATTAAACTATTTCAGGCTGTATTTTATAACGTTTGTCACTCAAGCAACTTGAAAATTTACTAAAACATGCTTCAAACCTTCCTTTCACTCCTCACTAAATAGCAAATTAATACTTGGAACAGTTCATAGGTAAGAAAATCATTTGCATCCTTGTGTCTAAATTATTGAAAAGTCTCCTTCCTCATCAAACTATTTCAAGCTATATTTTTCAAAGTTTTCACTCAATAAACTTGAAAATTTACTAAAACATGCTTCATACCTTTCTTTCACTTGTCACTAAATTGCAAACTGATACTCGAAATAGTTAATGAGTAAAAAAATCAGTCACATCTTTGTATCTAAATTAGTGAAAAATTCCTTTAATAATCAAACAATTTCAGGCTGTATTTTTCAAAGTTCTTACTCAAACAACTTGAAACTTCTCACTAAATTGGAAATTAATACTTGAAACAGTTCATGATTAAAAAAATCATTTACATCCTTGTGTCTAAATTATTGAAAAAATCCCTGCCTCATCAAACTATTTCAGGCTGTATTTTTCAAAGTTTTCACTCAAATGTCTTGAAAATTTACTAAAACATGCTTCAAATCTTCCTTTCACTCTTCACTAAATTGCAAATTAATACATAGGTACTTGAAACAGTTTCTGAGTAAAAAAATCATTTACAGCCTTGTGTCTAAATTATTGAAAAATTCCCTTAATAATCAAACTATTTCAGGCTGTATTTTTTCAAGTTGTCACTCAAACAACTTGAAAATTTACTATAACATGCTTCAAACCTTTCTTTCACTCCTCACTAAATTGCAAATTAATACTTGAAATAGTTCATGAATAAAAAAATCATTTACATCCTTGTGTCCTCATTACTTAAACGAGGGATAAATCACTCATGGAAATCATTGTACACTTTGCTGGGAATACTTTGAAAATACCTAGGAATATTTGGTTATACTCTGGGAGTAAGTACCTAGGAATACTTGGAAATCCTTGGGAATACGCTGAAAGTATATGGGAATACTCTGGAAGTACATACATGAGAATAATTTGGAAATACATGGAAGTTTGTATGTATTTGTAAATTTCTCTTGAAATTTCTACAACATTACCAGCTCGATTACCAGGGTATGGTATAAATGTGACACACTTGTACTTGTAACGAATTTTTATGCGCGGGAAATTCAAATTCCAATAATAATAAGCCAAAAACTGGCATATGGCCGAGTTACCTCACTGTTGCAGTTAACCAAGTTGGCAATATCGGGAAATACGAGAGGAGGGGGAATTTTTTATTTTTTTATTTAATTTTTTATTTATTTATTTACGGAAAACCCCCATTAACAGTTTACAATTAACAAAATATAAAGTTATGAATATAGATTATACATAAAAAAATTCCAAACTACCTAAAACAACCCCTCTTAATACTAGGCCATTAAATATAGTAAGTAAAACCACAACCAAAACCTAAAAAGCACAGAACCCTAAAAAGTGACACCATTAAATTGCTTTTTAAATTCTCTCAAAGATATACCAAATATTTCAATGTGATGATCATCAACAACTCTAGAGTATCTATCCATAGGCGTATAAAAACCATAATTTGTATGGTTAAAAGAATCTGACATTTTGACTTCTATTTCTAGTAACTATCTCAATATTTATTTCACCTAACAAATCAGAACAATCAATTGTACTGTTAACAATACCATACAGAAAAGTAAGCCCTGCAAAATTCCTTCGATCTGATAGAGACCGCAGGTTGAGATGATTTTCTAGCCTAACATAATTGTGATTATCGATCACTATTCTTAGTTTAAATGCACAGAAACGAAGAAACCTATGCTGAACTGTGGGAATACTGGGGAATACTTAGACATACTGTCCAAAATTGAGGAAGTATTCCCAGAAACTGGAAATTACTGTACGTTTTTTTGTGCGAATCCATGTTAACATTGAAACTTGATACACCTATAATTTTTTTTTTTGTCAAAAAAGATTGGACTTTAAAGTAAAAGACATTTGAAAAAATACTGATTTTTTTCCTGGTGACATTATCCAATTTCAAATTCACAGAAAATATAGTCCAAAGTGTCTTTTATTGACTGAAACAAACCGCAAATCAATGTCGATATTGAAACTTCAGTTATGAATGTTTTTGTCAGAAAAGAGTTTAAATTTTTAATGATAAACTCTTGAGAAAATACTGATTTTTATCTGGTGACACTATCAACTTCAAATTTACAGGAAATATAGTCCAAAGTGTCTTTCATTGACTGGAACAAATTGCAAATCAATATCGACATTAAAACTTGAATTATGATTTTTTTTGCCAGGAAAAACATTGAATTTTCAATGATAGACTTTTAAAAAAATGCTGAATTATTCCTGGTGACGCTATCAACTTTAAATTTACAGGAAATGTAGTCCAAAGTGTCTTCTATTGACTGGAACAAATTGCTAGTCAATATTGACATTAAAGCTTGAATTATGACTTTTTTTGCCAGGAAAAACATTGAATTTTCAATGAGATACTTTTGAAAAACTATTGATTTTTTCCTGGTGACACTATGGACTTCAAATTTACAGGAAATATAGTCCTAAACACTTTCTAGTTCTGAGAAAGAATCTTGATGAAAATGAGTTGAAAGACTACAAAATTCACAGTTTCTAGTTATGAGAACAATTCGTTGTTGAAACTAAACTCAGATATTCTAAATGATTTTCAGGTTTCAATTATAAGCTTGAAATTGAAACAAAATTTGACTTTAAAGTCTCAGAACATCCACACTTTCTAGTTCTGAGAAAGAATTTTGTTGAAATTGATTTGAAAAGCTGTGAAATTCACATTTTCTAGTTTTATGAACAAATCATTGTTGAAACTAAACCCAGAGATTTTAAATGATTTCCAGGTTTTGATTATGAGCTCGAAATTTGAACAAAATTGACTGGAAAGGCACTCGATTTTATCTCACGAACTATAAGTGCAAATGAGCTGAAATTGTAGTCCTTTTATTGGGATAAAATTCAGTGAAAGTTTCAGCTTTCTACCTTCTTACTAAAAAGATGAAATTTCAATTTTTTTTTGTTGGGATTTTGTATCCTAATGGTCAATTGACATCCCCCAAACTCCATACACTAAATTATTCTCAGATTTGAAGCCGAAATCTATGAAAAAAAGGCACTCAGAAAAATTGAAAAGTTGATAAATCACCCCAAATTGCTTTCAGGGATTGTAGTCCTTTTATTGGGATAAAATTCAGTGAAAGTTTCAGCTTTCTATCTATGATAGAAAAAAAGTTAGGACCTTTAAAAGTTTTCCAAAATCTAAGTCATAAGGTTCTTACTAAAACGATGGAATTAAAAAAAAAAATTGTCCAGATATTGTATCCGCTAATGGTCAATTAACTTCCCCCAAATTCCATACACTAAATTATTTTCAGAACCTCCAAACTTTTTATTTCTGAGAAGTATTACCAATATATTACAGCCAATTTGTACGATTTCAATACTTATTTCTAATATATTTTTCTCATACAGTGTAACATCAAAAAAGAGGGCAGCATTAAGAAAGAGAAAAACCCTTTGCCTCCTCCTCCTCCTGTTCAGCCCGAAGTGGGGCGAAGCAGAAGGCAAGCAAGCAAAGAGGCCCTTAAACAAATGCAGATTATATTGGACGACGACGACGACGACCCTGTAGAAATACCAGATGAAGATGTAAGTAAAACTAATAAATTAAAACATACAATTTTGTTTCATAAATAATTATTTGCAAATCTTACAAATAAGTATTTAATAATTATTAAGATTGTTATATTGATATTTAATTCTAATTTCCTCTAGTATGACTACAAAAGCGATATAAATGAGGTAATTATTATTATTATACAAACAAAATAACTTCTAATTTCAATAATTTCAATTTTTAATAATTAATAATAGTTAACTTGATAGTTAATTATGTTTTAAATTGGTAATTTCCTAGGATATGCCACTTACAGCCATAGTAGCGCCCCCGAAGAAGAAATACAAATTGACCCACAGAAAATCGTCTGATGGAAATGGTAATTGGGTTTTTATTTGAATACAATTGCACTTTATTTTCAAAGTTAATATTTCTGAGGGTTAAACTGCAGAAAAATCGAGAGAAAAATGTTTTGTACACTGATACCTACCTAATTTCTTTCAAATCGCTCTAATTTCGCTCAATTTCCTTTATTCATCTGGTACCTGGTGAACTGGTTTGATATTTTGCTATAAGATTCTCCTAACCTTCTTCTATAGACTTGAAAAGTTTCAGATTTTTCTCATGATCAGATTTTGAGAAAAAAATTCAAACATCTTATAATGCTAAAGTTGATTTTTGGTTTATTTTCTAATAATCCTTTAATTGTGTACCTACATTAAAATAGTTCTGTAGTTTTCCCTTTGGATTCTCCTATAAAAACCCTAAAAATTCCAGATCGTGAAGTTTTAGTTTTAAAAACCATCCAACCACCACCTGAGCCAACGCCCTCCGAAGAACCGCCCATAGTAATTTCGGGCATAATTAATCACGACATCGAAAACAATCTGGAATTAGAATGCTGGGTGGAAGAGTTGGAACAATGTCAGAAAGATTTGCACAATAAACTAGCCGAAGAAGAAAAAACCTTGGCTACAAAGCTTGAGGAATTAGTAGAGGGTTGCAAAGGTGAAGTTATTTACAAAGGAGAACTTACTTCAATTATAGAAGTTGGGGAAGAAGTACAAAAAGCCATAAAAATGGTGCAAGAATCTTGGAACAAGCCTCCAATTGTAATAAACCAGCCAGTGGCTCCACCACCTAATAATTACCAAATGCCTATAGATTCAAGAATAGGCGTCATTCTTTCACCTAGTAGCAGTAGTGCTAATACTCCTCCACCTAAACTACCCAAAATCCATGTGGCTACAAATCTGCAAGCTACTCCAGTGAGTCAACCTGCTTCCATTTTGAGACCTAGAACTTTTCGAGGGGCTAAAAAGACTTCGCCTCCACCAGCCACAATAACCACTCGCTCTTTGGCTCCACATCCACAACCAACTACACGTTCTTTGGCTCCACATCTACAACCGACTACACGTACTGTGGCTCCAGCAACTAGTATAACCACCCGGTCTGTGGCTCCACATTCCCAACCGACTACACGTCCTATAGCTCCATCAACTAGTATAACCACTCGCTCTGTGATTAAACGAGTGGCGCTGCCTCCTACTCCTGCGACTCCACCAGCTACTAGATCCAGAGTAAGTTGTAGTTTTTATAAGTACTTGTTGAAATGTTGCTGGGGCATTTTTTAGTCCAAAAGGCACATTAAAAGCTGTTTTCCTTATCATACGTGACTGAAATGATCCTTTTAGCCAACTTCCTCCGTTGCCCGCCCAACAGAAACGACAGTCGAAGGCGGTTTGACAGCGGGCGCCGCTTCTAAAGCGATCGTCGATTTGACAACGTCGGATGACGGCAAATCGGCACCGGACAGTCGCGAAATTTCCTTCAACAAATTGCAAGGAAAAACGTATCCGTCGCTGGTTGTGGTGGCCAGGCCCCACTTAAGAGTGACAGATGTCAATGTTGACAGGTCGAAGCTGGACGCCAAGGTCAAGTCGGTGCTCATGTATCCGGCGACGAAGTTTACCGAATGGTAAGTAAACTTTTTGATTTGTTTTTGGCAAGATTTCTTCCTCTTTTCACCACAAACATTTCAAAATTTTACTACTCGATGCATAACAAACTCCTAGAAAAATTGACAGATATATCACACGTCATTATTTTGACAGTTTTGGATAATTTAAAGTCGATTGAACTTGATAATTTGAGTGATTTTTAGAAACAAAAAATCCTAAATCAGGTAAATTTCGAAAGCTGTCAAAATTAAAATTCATTACTCGATGCCTAACGAACAACTAGAAAAATTGACAGATATCACACGTCATTATTTTGACAGTTTTGGATGATATAAAGTCGAGTGAACATGATAATTTCAGTGATTTTTAAAGACAAAAAAATCTTAAATCAGGCAAACTAAAGCTGTCAAAATTAAATTTTAATATTCGATGCCTAACGAACTCCTAGAAAAATTGACAGATATCACACGTCATTATTTTGACAGTTTTGGTTAATTTAAAGTCGAGTAAACTTGATAATTGAAGTGAATTTTAGAGACAAAAAATCCTAAATTTCCAATCTGACAAATTTCGAAAGCTGTCAAAATTTAATTTTAATACTCGATGCCTAACGAACTCTTAGAAAAATTGACAGATATCACACGTCATTATTTTGACAGTTTTGGTTAATTTAAAGTCGAGTGAATTTGATAATTTGAGTGATTTTTAAGAGACACAAAATCTTAGATCTCCAATTAGGCAAATTTCGAAAGCTGTCAAATTTAAATTTTAATACTCTATGCCTAACAAACTCCTAGAAAAATTTACAGATATCGCACGTCATTATTTTGACAGTTTTGAATAATTCAAATTAGAGTGAACTTGATAATTGGAGTGATTTTTTAAGAAAATAAATCCTAAATCTCCAATCTGACAAATTTCGAAAGCTGTCAAAATTTAATTTTAATACTCGATGCCTAACGAACTCCTAGAAAAATTGACAGATATCACACGTCATTATTTTGACAGTTTTGATTAATTTAAAGTCGATTGAACTTCATAATTTGAGTGATTTTTAGAGACAAAAAATCCTAAATCAGGTAAATTTCGAAAGCTGTCAAAATTAAATTTCAATACTTGATGCCTAACGAACTCCTAGAAAAATTGACAGATATCATACGTCATTATTTTGACAGTTTTGGATAATTTAAAGTCGAGTGAACTTGATAATTTGAGTGATTTTTAAGAGACAAAAAATCCTAGATCTCCAATTAGGCAAATTTCGAAAGCTGTCAAATTTAAATTTTAATACTCAATACCTAACGAACAACTAGAAAAATTGACAGATATCACACGTCATTATTTTGACAGTTTTGGTTAATTTAAAGTCGAGTAAACTTGATAATTGAAGTGATTTTTAGAGACAAAAAATCCTAAATCTCCAATCTGACAAATTTCGAAAGCTGTCAAAATTTAATTTTAATACTCGATGCCTAACGAACTCCTAGAAAAATTGACAGATATCACACGTCATTATTTTGACAGTTTTGGATAATTTAAAGTCGAGTGAACTTGATAATTTGAGTGATATTTAAAGACAAAAAATCCTAAATCAGGCAAATTTCGAAAGCTGTCAAAATTAAATTTTATAATACTCAGCGTCTAAAAAACTCCTAGAAAAATTGACAGATATCACACGTCATTATTTTGACAGTTTTGGATAATTTAAAGTCGAGTGAACTTGATAATTTGAATGATTTTTAAGAGACAAAATTCCTAGATCTCCAATTAGGCAAATTTCGAAAGCTGTCAAATTTAAATTTTAATACTCGATGCCTAACGAACAACTAGAAAAATTGACAGATATCACAGGTCATTATTTTGACAGTTTTGGATAATTTAAAGTCGAGTGAACATGATAATTTGAGTGATTTCTAGAGACAAAAAAATCTTAGATCTCTAATTAGGCAAATTTCGAAAGCTGTCAAAATTAAATTTCAATACTCGATGTTTAACGAACTCCTAGAAAAATTGACAGATATCACACGTCATTATTTTGACAGTTTTGGATGATTTAAAATCGAGTGAACATGATAATTTGAATGATTTGTAAAGACAAAAAATCCTAAATCAGGTAAATTTAGAAAGCTGTCAATACTTGATGCCTAGTGAACAACTAGAAAAATTGACAGATATCACAAGTCATTATTTTGACAGTTCTGGATAATTTAAAGTCGAGTTAACATGATAATTTGAGTGATTTTTAGAGACAAAAAAAATCTTAGATCTCTAATTAGGCAAATTTCGAAATCTGTCAAAATTAAATTTCAATACTCGATGTTTAACGAACTCCTATAAAAATTGACAGATATCACACGTGATTATTTTGACAGTTTTGGATGATTTAAAATCGAGTGAACATGATAATTTGAATGATTTTTAAAGACAAAAAATCCAAAATCAGGTAAATTTAGAAAGCTGTCAATACTTGATGATGTCAGTTTTGGATAATTTAAAGACAATTGAATTTGATAATATGAGTGATTTTTAGAGACAAAAGATATCACACGTCATTATTTTGACAGATTTGGTTAATTTAAAGTCAAGTGAACTTGATAATTTGAGTGAGTTTTAAGAGATAAAAAATCCGAGAAAAAATCCTAGATCTCCAATTAGGCAAATTTCGAAAGCTGTCAAATTTTAATTTTAATACTCGATGCCTAACGAACTCCTAGAAAAATTGACAGATATCACACGTCATTATTTTGACAATTTTGGATAATTTAAAGTCGATTGAACTTGATAATTTGAGTGATTGTTAGAGACAAAAAATGTATTTCGAAAGCTGTCAAAATTAAATTTTATTACCCGATGCCTAACGAACTTCTAGAAAATTTGACAGATATCACAAGTCATTATTTTGACAGTTTTAGATGATTTAAAGTCGAATGAACTTGATAATTTGAGTGATTTTTAAAGACAAAAAATCCTAAATCAGGCAAATTTCGGAAGCTGTCAAAATTAAATTTTATAATACTCAATGTCTAACGAACTTCTAGAAAAATTGACAGATATCACACGTCATTATTTTGACAGTTTTGAAATTTCCTTTATAAAATAATAGCCTCAAAAGCATCTACACAGTGGGCCAAAATAAAATCTTTAAAAGGCCAAAAGAAGAAAAACAAACAACTTCTTTTCCAGGTTACTACAACAAGGCCTGGTAAGATCCGACCAAACTTGTACCGTACACACTTCCAGCCCACTAAAGCTGGGTATGTACAGTGACGTCACGAAATTCCCGTATTCGGGCGGCTACGTCTGGATTTCCGAATGTTGTCCGCAACGATTCGTTTCGGTCTTTTGCGGGTCGATTTTCGAAGGCGCCGCCCATCCTCCACTGGTCATTTTGAAGATCTTGTACCACTGGGCTTGTCAGACCAACATACAGAACGTCACACAATGGGTAAGAATTTTCACTTCATAATTATGAGTCAAATGTGATTCAGCCATAGGAAAAAAGGAACACTTTTTTTTTCTCATAAATTCCTCCAAGTTCCGCACAAATTCCTCTTAATTCCCCACAGTTTTGGCAAAGAATTCCCCTTGACTTTTTGCGGCTTCTTTACTTGTCTTTACGCTCCCACTATTTCTAAGAAACCAACCATTTTTTGAGCAAATTCATACCAGTTAACAAGTAGTCAACAATGACTTCAAATCACCCCCCTCCTTAAAAATTTTAGGTCAAAGTAGACAACCTCTATGTCAAAAGTATGTACACGTGGCTGCGCGCCATTTGCTCAGTATCTTTGCAAACTCATATGAGACAATTGGGTGGACCTCACATCAAAGTTGAAGTGGGCGTAATTTCCTTGGGTACCACCTCGCAAGACGGCAGCGCCCGCCAAGTCAAAGTTGAGGTACTTGGAGTACTAGAAACGAGCACAAAACTAATAAAACTACGTGCCATTGAGCCATTAACAGATGGAGACAGGAACTACAAAAAGCGGTTTTGTAAAATTTTAGAGCCTTTAGCTCAATGGGTGCACCCAAGTAGTACCATCGTAACTGATTTGACTGTGGATAAGGCAACATTGCAATCAATGGGTTTCAATCAAGTGATCCAAAACACTGGCGAATCAAACAAAACTATTATGGAATATTTAAGGAGAATTGTGCCTAGGATGTTCCAAAATACTTTGTCATTATTATCCAGACAAATTATCCAACAATTTTTAGACGAATTGGTTTGGAGAGAATGGTTCGGTACCACTTCGATGTTAGCCTTTGACAATTTAGTAGCTCATGTTGCTGAACAAACCCGCTTCGATGGTACTGCTAGTTTAGTAATGAGACTAAACCGAGTGGCTATGAATCCGTTTAAAAACTGGTCAGTGCCTGTTAGCAGCAGTACTGTAGTACCACCCCCACCTAAACCGTTTCAAGATCAATCCAAGAAACGTAAACGCACCAGCCAAGTGGAACCAATTACACAAGAACGCCCACCCAAATCAATTTCGCCTGATGTGCCAGAGCAAATGGTACCATTGGAAAACTACTATTACGGTACCATCGATCAGTACCCAACCAAAATAAACGTGAAGCTGTCTAATTTAAAGTGTCCCTTTTGCAAGGAGACTTTTAACAACAACATTCTGTTGATGAGCCACTTGTTTAGGCATGCACATAATGTTAAAGACGGCGAAATGTGCCGGTACTGCTTGACTAGTGTACAAACTGAAAACGACCTGCGCAAACATGTTGCTTCTACGCATCCAGTAGAAACTAAACACGAAAACGGTTTTATGTGTTTGATTTGCGAAACCCAATATATGAATCCGTTTGTTTTGGGTAAACACATGTCCAAGGAACATTGTCCGTCTGAGTTACCTTACCAATGTGGTACTTGTGGTTATAGGTAAGTGAATAATTTGGGCAATTTTTCATTTATTCAATTATTGATTGTTGTAGATGCTCAAATCATAAACAAGCCATTGACCATTTCTATAAGCAGCATGATAATGGGCCTACTATACAGTGTCCGTTTTGTCTCAAGTCGACTACAGTGTTTTCTACTTCAAGAAATATCGCTCAGAATATGCACTTTTTCATACAGCATTTGCAAAAGCATCAACGGAAATTGTACGCTAGAAAGTAAGTAGTTTTTTTCATTAACTAGTGAAAATACATTGTCTCATATTTCAAAGTTTTTCTGGAAAACTAATAAAGAGAAACTTTTTGCATTTAAAAAGGGTGATTAGGAGCTCATTTTTCCAAAATTTTAAATTTTTCCAGTAGATAATAACTATATGGAAAGTCTTGAAAAACAACTTACTAAAACTGAATTAATTGAAAATACAGTCTCTCACATTTCAAAGGTTTTCTGGAAAACTAATGAAGAGAAATTTTGGAAACTTTTTGCATGTAAAAAGGATGGTTAGAAGGTCATTTTCCTGAAATTTCAAAATTTTCCACTGGAAAATACCAACATGAAGAATCTTCAAAATCAACTTATAAAAACTGAATTCATTGAAAATACAGTTTCCCACACTTTAAAGGTATTCTGGAAAACTAATAAATAGATATTCTTGAAACTTTTTGCCTGTAAAAAGGAAGGTTAGGAGTTTATTTTCCCAAAATTTAAAATTTTTCTGGTGGAAAATAACTACATGAGAAATCTTGAAAATCAACTTACTAAAACTGAATTAATTGAAAATACCAGTCTCTCACATTTCAAAGGTTTTCTGGAAAACTAATAAAGAGAAAATTTTGAAATTTTTTGTATGTAAATAGGATGGTTAGGAACTCATTTTCCCGAAATTTAGAAATTTTTCCAGTGGAAAATAACAACATGAAAAATTTGTTCCAAACTGTTCCAAAAAAAATCAAACAAATTTAAACTAATTAAAAATTGAATTTTTGAAAACTTTAAAAAATCATAACTTTTTTTGTATTATAGATAGAAAGCTGAAATTTTCAGTGAATCCTATCCCAAAAGAGGTTTACAATTTGTAAAAATTTCAGCTCATTTGGACTTATAGTTTCTGAGCTAAAATCGCTTTAACGTATATAGAGTGAATTTTAATTATGATCTATAGGTGTCCAAAGTGCGCGTTGTGGTTCATCCAAAAAGACCTACTCCGCGAGCACCAAACCAAAATGCACGTGTCGCAACGTGGCAAAACCGGCTTGATATCGTGGTCAGCGCCGCCCAGATCTGGTGCCGTAATGGTACCCAAATCCAAGATGGACATTTACCCCTGTGACGCCGATGCTATCAACTTTAGCAACTTGTACTACAACGTTGCTAAGAATTTAAAGTGCAAAGAGTGCGAGGGGTCTATGGATAGTAACAAACATTTTCCGTAAGTAACACACACTTTGATCAATAATAGATTTGTTCCAGTTGACATGAGAATCGTTCTAGAACTGTATTGAAAAATAGATGGGCAACTGGAAATTACTGGTTCTCATGTTGGTTGCAACAAAGCTATTTATTCAAAGTTCTTATTTTCAGCTCTTTCGAAACCTGTCAAAACTGTCAATATTCAACATGTTGCTCCAAAACCATGCAAGTGCACACTTCAAAGTGCGTCAAAAATGCACAAAAGAATGCTCCCAATGATCCTTTACCTTGCAAAATGTTTTGCATTTGTGGATTCAATCATCAAGATGGTAAGTTTTTAATAAATATTGTAAACCCATTTTTATTTCTATACAGGGTGTTCCACTGGGAACCAAATCGATCTATATAATATGAAAAACTGTATGAAGAAAATTGTGGCTCCTATTATATGTACTTAAAAAAATTTGTATCGGAAAATATTTTTTGAGGTTTATAGTTTTTGAGAAAATTGAGTTTAAAATTTTGACTAAAATTCAACTTTGAGGCTCAATTGCTCAAAAAGAATTTGAGCTCCTAAATTCAATTTACCATGGATTTATAGAGTATTTAATGCTCTTTTTAATGGTGTATAATTTATTTTCATTTGTTGGAATTTTAAGAGAAATATTGGCCATTTACCTTGACCTTCTTATAATTTAAACACAAAAAATTAAATTTTCTTTGTAATTTTGGAAGTGAAGTTTCTTTAGCAGCGGTCTGATATTTGGGACGAGAATTTTAAAGAAGCATCACGTTTTATGAAAATTTCATTACACGAGAGAGAAGGAAAAAGAATAACGTTGATATACAGAGAAAGACAGTCATTGATTGACATAAATCAAGGATTATAAGCAAAGAGAATTGCCTGTTATTGTTAAGCACTGATACCTTTGTGACGTCACAAGATTCTAAAGTTGACTAAAACTGAAGCAAAAGTGGTGGAATTGGATGACACATGTGGAAGCTGTACAAAAAGTTTTCCAGATTCTGAAAATTTTAATTATATTGAAGAATGCGTTTTAAAGTTATCACATGGGTAAACCGTCTTGGGGTGGGACACCCTGTATATAACTTCCAATTGAATGATACCTATACTGATTCTGTGTTTTTCTGCTCCACAGTTTGCACCATGCCGGAAAAAAATAACGTGAAAACTGGAAAACGAAATCGAAAAGTAAAAAAAAAAGTTGCCAAAACAGGTGCAGAGCGCATTCGCGCATACAGAGCGCGAATAAGGGCCGATGAAAAAGAAATCGCAGCTAAATCTGCAATTAATGATAGGAGCATTGTGACAGAAACAGAATCTAAACATCAAGATGCCCTTAGTCAAAGTGATGAGAAAGCAGGTGATTCTCATCAACAAGTGGATGTACATCAACAAGATTTATCTTTGATTTCGGAAGTTGCTCCATCAACTAGTAATGTGAAAAAGTTGAGAAGACATCCAAAAACTGCTAAAACACCAGCGGAACGTGCTCGCCTTTATAGAGAACGAAAAAGGGCTGCAAGGAAAGCAGCTACCGAACAACAATGCACAAAGGGTATGATTCATCATATATTTTCCTAAAGGCAAATTTACGGTAAACAACTTCTTTGGTAGTATTTGCTCAGTGTGTGACAGGCTGTGGTTCAACTTCGGTTCAAGGAAGATTTGAAAAGACCTTGAGCTGAGCATGAAGAAATATTGACAGAAATTATACCAAGTCGATTGAAAAATGACGTATTATTGTGCAATATTCATTAAAAAAATTAAAATCATGTGCAGCATCATACACACAAAGTTATAAGAAAGCATTTTGAAATAATTCCTCTATGCTGTAGTAAGCGTTTGATGCTAAAGTCTCAAATGCAGTGGTAGATGGAAGATATTAATATTTAGATAGATAAAGTTTTTTGTTTTGTGGAAGAAGGAATGGGAAAATTAACATAAAGTCTGTTTTTTTTTTTTTAAGATAATAGCCAACAAATTATCTTAATTACTAATTTAATTCATAAATAGATCAATAATGACGGAGTTAGACAAACTAATCAGGAAGAGAGGTTCACTCAAGGCTTCTCTTACATTGTTCACTAAATTTACCGTACAAAAGCAAGATAGCATAAGGCAGGGGCAGTTTTTGAATGAAACAGAAATTATACAAATTCAGGAAAGGGTTACGCGAATAGAAATTGTTTTTCAAGAATTTATTTCAACTCAAGACGAAATCGAGGCAAATGTCGCATTGGCCCATTTGGATGAGGAATATAACGAGCGTGCATCATTTGAAGATGCATATTTTTCAATCATATCCATTGCAAAAAATATTCTAAATTCATTCTCATCCAAAAACGATGACGCTGGGTCAGTACATTCATGTCATTCAGTTGCAAGGTCTATCGTTGCAGGGTCTATTGGTGCAGGGTCCAATGGTGCGGCGTCCGTTGGCGCAAATTTAGATTTGGGTGGGGTTAAATTGCCAGTTATTCCTCTTCCCAAGTTTCATGGTTCATTTCACGAGTGGCTAGAATACAAAGAAACCTTTCAGTCCTTGGTTCACGAGCACGAGTCTTTATCCGCAATTCAAAAGTATCATTATTTGCGGGCATCTTTGGAGGGCAGTGCAGCGCAAATTTTAAAATCCATTGAATTTACTCCAAATGGATATATCGTTGCATGGGAAACCCTAAATAATCGTTTTAATAATTCAAAATTATTAATTCATAATCATATTAAAGCATTGTTTACACTAGAAAACATTCAAAAAGAATCATCCATAAAGATTCGTAAAATGATCGATGACGTGTCAAAGCATCTCAGATCACTAGAGCAATTAAATCAAGTAATTAAAAACTGGGATCCTTTGTTAATATTCATGATAACATCTAAACTTGATCAAAATACGGCAAGTGAATGGGAAAAATATTCGATAACATTAAACACTTCTTCATTAGATGATTTAAAAACGTTTTTAACAAATCGGGCTAATTTTTTGGAAACTCTAGAGTACAAAACTACTATGAAATTAGCGCAAGACGATCGGCAGGACAAGCGAGATTTCAAGCAACGGTTCTCCTCTAGGTCCCTAGTTTCTTCAACACTTTCGTGTTATAATTGCAAGAAAGATCATTCAATTTATGTGTGTGAAGATTTTCTCAACTTACCAGTTAAAAAACGTATCGAGTTCATAAACAAAGCAAAACTATGCATAAATTGCTTGCGTCATCATCCACCCAAGAGATGCAAAATGGGTACCTGTAGAAAATGTAATTCGTGGCACAATACTCTATTACACCAGGATAATTTCAATTCTCCATCGAATGTTACAACTGCCGACAGCAACAACGACGAAGGGTGTCAGGCAGAGGCTGTTTTAAGTAGCAGCATATGCAAATCAGGTAAGCGGGTTATGCTTTTATCAACAGCTCGAGTCAAGGTTCTAGACAAATTTGGCATGCCTCACATTGCGCGAGCTTTACTAGATGCCGGTTCTATGTCTTCTTTTGTCACGACAAACCTATGGGACAAATTGGGTTTAGATAAAGTTAATGCCAATTTAAACGTCTTCGGCATATCAAACTCGGTTACCAAAGTACATGGTAAATGTCAAGTTATTCTAAGTTCTTTATATACTGATTTTAATACAAAACTTACTTGTTTTATTCTTCCTGAAATCACAAATGTTACACCAGGTTTTGAGATTGACTTAAATTTATTCCAAATTCCATCAAACCTATACCTTGCCGACGAGGAGTTCAACAAACCAGGTGCGATCGACGTTTTGATTGGTTGCGATCTCTTCTGGAGTCTATTAAAATTAGGAAGGTTATCAGGTGGTAAGTACAATCCTACGCTTCAAGAAACTGAACTTGGATGGGTAGTAGCTGGTCCAGTAGGAGGAATTGGAGCAAAAGAACAAAGGAGACAAGTTTCTTGCAACCTAAGCATCAACCAAGATTTGCATGATATGATGGCACGATTTTGGGAAGTTGAAGAGTTGACTCAAGCTAGACCGTTATCCAGCGAAGAAACCGAATGCGAACGAATCTTTTCAGAGACAACATGTAGGAACCATGAAGGTCGGTTTGTAGTGAATCTACCATTAAAACAGTCAGCTGATTGCTTAGGCGAATCCCGCTCTCCAGCAGAGAAAATGTTTTACAACCTCGAGAAAAAACTTCTAAAGCAAGAGTCTTTGAAGGAACAATACATCAAGTTCATGCAGGAGTATCAATCCCTCCATCACATGACCGTTGCTGGTTTGAATTCCAACCCTTCTGACGTGGAATATTTCATGCCTCATCATGGAGTTTTACGAAGCGATAGTTTGACTACTAAACTTCGGGTTGTGTTCAATGCCAGTTCTCCATCAAGCAACGGAATATCTCTTAACAATATTCAATATGTCGGACCAGTTTTGCAGGACGACCTCCTATCAATACTGCTAAGGTTTCGCGAAAAGCGCCATGTGGTTTCTGCCGACTGCAAAATGATGTACCGACAAGTATTGGTGAATCCCATGCAAAGAAATCTCCAGAAGATTTTATGGCGAGAAAGCCCCACGGATCCACTTAAAGCATATACACTAAATACCGTTACATACGGACAGGCAAGCGCAAGTTATTTAGCCATTCGTTGTCTATTCCAGTTAGCCAATGAGTGTGCTGACTACAATCCAGAAGTTGCTGATATCATCAAGCGCTCCTTTTACGTCGATGATCTGCTTTTTAGTACTGACTCCATAGAACATGCACGTCATTTATGTCAAGAGATTGCACGTGTTCTAAAAGGCGGTTGTTTCGAGTTGCGCAAGTGGTATTCCAATGAACCAAAGGTGCTCGACGGCATTGAAACCAACGACGAAGTATGCGGCATCTTAACTTTCAGTCCTGATGAAACAGCTAAAACTCTAGGTTTAACTTGGTCCTGCTATAACGACAAGTTAGCCTTTCGCATTGATATAAGCACTTATCAGATGGATACAAAAAGAAATGTTTTGTCTCTCACCGCTCGCATATTTGACCCATTGGGAATGTTGAGTCCATGTACTATCCTAGCGAAGATCCTCATGCAAAGATTGTGGTCTGAAAAGGTGTCTTGGGATGAGAGTCTACCGGAACATCTAGCCTGTGAATGGCACAAGTTCAAGGTTGATCTACTTTGTTTAAACCAATTAACCATCGAACGACATGTAGTGGGCGAGGGGGCGCAGATAGTCGATTTGCAGGGTTTTGCAGACGCCTCCGAGCGAGCATACGGTGCATGTTTATATGTTCGAAGTGTAGATCAAAATAATCAAGTACATGTAAGGCT